TTTCTGAAGAAATTTCAAACTGTTTTCCACAGTGGCTGCATCAGTCTGCAATCCCACCAACAGTGCACTAGGGTTCCCTTTTCTCCACAGTCTCGCCAGCACTTGTTTGTTGATTTGTTTATGATGGTCATTCTGACTGGTATGAAGAAGTATCTCATTGTGGATTTAATTTGCATCTATCTGATGACTAGAGATATCTTTTCATATGTCTCTGGGCCCTGTGTATGTCCTTCTTGGAGAAGTGTCTGTTAAGGTCCATTGCCCAAGTTTTAATTGGATTGTTTGTCCTCCTGGAGTGAAGTCATGTGAATTCTTTATATATTTTAGAGATCGAACCATTGTCCAAGGTGTCATTGGCAAATATATTTTCCCATACGATTGGTTCCCTTTTCATTTTGCTGATATTTTCTTTAACTGTGCAGAAGCTTCTTATTTTGATGTAGTTCCATTTGTTTATTCTTTCCTTTATGTCCCTTGTTCCAGGGGACATAGGTGAAAATATCGCTACATGGAATATCTGAGATTTTCATGTCTATGTTCTCCTCTAGGTCTTTTATGGAGTTGCAATATATATTTAAGTCTTTTATCCACCTTGCATTTATTTTTTTGTATGGTATAAGTTGTTGGCTGAGTTTTAATTTTTTGTGTGTAGCTGTCCAACTCTCCCAACACCATTTGTTGAAGAGGCAATTTTATTCCATTTTATGCTTCTGCACCCTTTGTTAAATATTAATTGACCATTGAGACATGGGTTTATTTCTGGGCTATCTGTTCTGTTCCATTGGTCTATGTGTTCTTAGGCCAGTATCAGACTGCTTTGATTACAGTAGCCTTGTAGTATAGTTTGATATTGGGTATAGTGATCTCTCCAACTTTGTTTGGCTATTGCTGTGGCTATTTAGGGTCACTTATGGTTCCATATAAATTTTTGAAATGTTTGTTCTGTATCTGTGAAATATGTCATTAGTATTTTAATAGGGATTGCATTGAATCTATAAATTGCTTTGGGTAGTATGGACAAGAGGGAAGACTCCCAAACTCTTTTTATCACTAAACCCAAAACCAGATAAAGACAACAAAGAAGGAAAACTACAGGCCAATATCTCTGATGAACATATACACTAAAATTCTCAACAAAATATTGGCAAATTGCATCAAGCAACATTAAAAAGATCATCCACCATGATCACAGGGAATTCATTTCAGGGATGCAAGGATGGTACAATATTTGCAAATCAGTAAATGTAATACATTACATACGCAAAAGGAAAGACGTAAATCACATGATCCTATCAGTAGACACAGAAAAAGCTTTTGATAAGGTACAGCACCCATTTATGATAAAAACACTCAGCATAGTGGGAGTAGAGGGAGCATGCCTCAACATAGCAAAGGCCATATTCGAGAAACCTACAGCCAACATCATACGCAATGGGCAAAAACTAAAATCACACTAAGATCAGGAACAAGACAAGGGTGTCCGCTTTCACCACTTGTATTCACCATAGTATTGGAAGTCCTAGCCACAGAAATCAGAAAATAAAAAGAAATAAATGGCACTCAAATTGGAAAGGAGGAAGTAAAACTGTCACTGTTTGCAGATGACATAATAATGTACACAGAAAACACTGTAGACTCCACCCAAAAAACTACTCAACCTAATTAGTGAATTTGGCAAAACAGTGGGTGAAATGAAAAAATACTTTTCAATTCAGAAATTGAAAGTATTTTTGTGCACTAACAATGAATATTAGAATCAAAAATCAGGAAAAGAAATCTCATTTGGTATAGCAACAAGAAAAATAAAGTACCTAGGAATAAACCTTAACAAGGAGGTAAAATACCTGTACTCAGAAAACTACACAACACTGAAGAAGAAAATTAAGGAAGACATGAATAAATGGAAGCATATACCATGGTCATGGATTGTAAGAATTAAGATTGTTTCTTTATCTTTAACCTTCGACAATTTAATTCCAATGTGTCTTGATATGGTCCTCTTTTGGTCCAACTTATTTGGAACTCTCTGTGCTTCCCGGACCATTATGTCTATTTTCCTCACCAAATCAGGGAAATTTTCTCTCTTTTTTTTTTAATAAGTTTTCATTTTCTTGCTTTTTCTTTCCTCCTTCTGGCATCCCTATAATTCAGATGTTGGCATGTTTGGAGATGCTCCAGAGTCTTATTCTCTCCTCATTTTGGGTTTTTTGGTTTTCTGAGTTTTTTTTTTTTTTTTTGATTTCTTGTTTCTTCATTCTGTTTGGTTGCCTGTTTATTTATTCCTTATGTTCCAATTCATTTGTTTGAACTCCAGCTTCGTTCTCTTCACTGTTGGTTCCCTGTGGATTTTTCTTTATTTCATTCAGTGTAACCTTCCTTTCTTTTCTTATGCTTTTGTCATACTCAGTGAGGTCTCTAATCATCCTTATCACCACTGTTTTAAACTCTGCATCTGATAGGTTGGCTATCTCTGTTTCACTTAAATGTTTTATTGGGGTTTTGTTGTCTTTCATTTGAGCCATATTTCTTTGTCTATCTCTGTTTCACTTAAATGTTTTATTGGGGTTTTGTTGTCTTTCATTTGAGCCATATTTCTTTGTCTCCTCAATTTGGCAGCCTCCCTATGTTTGTTTCTGTGTATTAGGTAGAGTTGTTTTGTCTCTCTGTCTTGGCACACCTGTTATGTTGTATGGGGTGGAGCCTTAAGTATTCACAGGGGTAGGGCAGACTGCTTCAGTAATTTGTGGCTTTGTATGTGGGGGAGGGGTCTGCAAGAGAGCAATGCTACTATCTGACAGCTGGAGGCTTGTTCTGTCATTGTCTCTCTTCCAGTCACTTATGCAACTGAAACCCCTCTAGCTGTTGCCCTGGTGGTGGTTCCCAGAGTGGGTGAGTTTGTGTACATTCTAGGACCCTGCAGGCCTTTTAAAGCAACTCTCCTTAGAGACCCACAGTTTTTCCCCCTGCCCCAACCCCCACTGGTTTTTAAAGCCAGGAGTTATGAGACTGTAATTTCCTGGCACTGGAACCCTGGGCTGCACAGTCTTCCCTGGAGCTTACTCCCCAGGTATCCGTAATGTGGGACTACTCATTTTTCCAGCCACCCCTGCTGCCACCCTGTCACCACAGCCTTGCCACTACCACACCTTGTCCTCTTTGCTCTGGCTCCTCGGCTCCACCCTTCTTATCCATCTGGATGAATATACCTTCTGTAAATCTTTTGTTGTCAGACTTCCATATGGTTTGATTTTCTGGCAGTTCTGGGTGATTTTAGTTTTGAAGTTAGTTGTAATATGGTTTTACATATTATGGTTAGTTGTAATAAGACCATGTAATATGGTCTTATGGTTGTGAAGGAGGCAAAGCATGTCTGCCTATGTCTCCATCTTGACTGGAAGTCTCTACAATTATATTTTAACTAAGTACCTTTGTAAGAGACACATTCACATCAAATTGGGCTACAGGGATTTACTTTTTCATGATATATAAATAATTATTTATAATATCTAATTTCAATATACTTAATTAGTAATATCTTCTATCAGTTGCATAACATAAAATAATTCTTTGAGGTAGTATTTTTTCCTACCAAACTGCAGTGTCTTTGCATATTATTTTCACTATGTAAATTTCCTGACAGGTTTTTAATAAAAAATAATCATAATTTAAAGTGAATACTTCAAACAGACTATTAAGACACTTTGTAAACTTCCATATTACTTATAACAATATTAGAAGGATCAATATACAAAAAGGATTTTTAAAAACATCATTCAGCCATCTCATACCTTGCCCCACAGAACCATAGAAGTAATATGAAAATTTTTCCTTGCTCTCTTCTGGCTTTTTGTTCTTCTAAACAAAGCAGATAATATTGAACCATAAAGGGAGTTTACCTTTTATTCTCAGAAAAACACTCTGTGACTCTAAGCTGATGCTAATATCTTATAAGAAGGAAAAAAATGCACAACACAATCAGATGCCTTAAATGTTTCTGATATAGATAGATTTCATACAATACAGTTTTCTCTTTGACGTGAAATATGTCTGAATGTGTGAACTCAAACACTAGTATAACCCACCCTTCTGGTTTTATTTAAGGATGTGTTACATGGGCTGCCATTGCCATGTAAACAGGAAAAAAAATACTGTATGTTAACACAGTTTTCAGTTTCTATTTTGAGTGTTTGAGGAAAAGTCTGTAACACAACATATTCTATTGAATGGATATCTATTCTTGTATTTTTAAATCTGAAAGATTGCAAATAACTTCTTTTCACTTGGGAGATTATTATAACTCAAACATGAGAGCAGTCACAGACATAGTTTGGTGGCTATGTTTGAGGTCTCATATTTTGTTGTTTTGAAATTTTAAAGCAGTAGTTATGAGAACTGACTGGCTACACCACTGTGAACAGAGAAGTTGGAGATGAAGTATGACTACTGTCTTAGAATTAGATGGTTTTGTTTTCCTTTCAGGATCAAAATATAGGCCTACTTCTTGGTAAAAGACTGGAATGATCTATGCCTCTATCTCTTATTCATTGTTATTTAGGTTATAAGAACATATGTATCATTTCACTTCAGAATGATCCAACAATTACATAATTGATCATCTTTGCCATGAAAATATAAGGAGTAAACAGCTACAACATTTCTACCTGAAATGACAAAAACAAATGGTCACTGTCAGGATTAAAAAAGAAAAGAATTTCTGTTTTAAAACTTTATCCCTCATTCTAATTTGGAAAAATACTCCAGGAATACATAAATTTTAGTTCTCCTCTCCATGCTTAAGATTTTTAGTATAATTCTTCAAGTTTATCACATAATTAAAATAGATAACCATTATACCTGGTTTTAATTTGATAAATACAGTAAAATTTTTGACAAAAGAGAACAATATTTCATTTTAATTGTTTGAATAAATAAAGCATACTGTTGAATTCTAGTTGTAGTAGATCTAAATAGGTGCATGTTCTTCTGTTTATGTCTTTTAGCATCTCCGTCAATTAAACTCTTGGTGGATGACCCTATAGTTGTAAATCCTGGAGAGGCCATAACATTAGTGTGTGTTACGACAGGAGGAGAGCCTGTACCATCTCTCACCTGGGTCAGGTCCTTTGGGATTCTGCCTGAAAAGACTGTTTTGAATGGAGGAACTTTGACCATACCTGCCATCACCTCAGAAGATGCTGGTACTTACAGCTGCATTGCCAATAACAATGTAGGAAACCCTGCAAAAAAGTCTACCAACATCATTGTGAGAGGTACGTTTGCCTAGAGATTGTTACAACATAAATTTCTGGATGAACCAGGCTATCACAAAGCAAATAATGTTTGATATAAAAAATATTCCCCCAACTATTGCAGATATATGCAACATACACAGAAAATTGTTTATAAATAATGAATATCTAATTATAAATAGATCCTAAAATTCCTAAATATTTCTTACGCAATTTTTTAAAAGATTTTATTTATTTATTTTTAGAGAGAGAGGAAGGGAGGAAGAGAGGGAGAGAAACATCAGTGGGTGGTTGCTTCATGTGCCCCCTACAGGGGACCTGGCCCGCAGCCCAGGCATGTGCCCTGAGTGGTAATCCAACAGGTGACCCTTTGATTTGCAGGGTGGCTCTCAATCCACTGAGCTACACCAGCCGGGGCTAAAATTCCTAAATCTTAATCCCAATGTCTTTTGTTTCTATTGAATAGGTTTCATGACATATTCTCAGTGGTACCATTGAATAGTTTTTATAATATGTTCTGAGTAAAAGAAATGATTAAAATGCAATTGTGGCATAGAACATTAAACATTGTTTGTTATATAGATCATGTATTAGTCTAGGAGTTTCACAAATTTATCAATTTAATGGCTAATAAACATTTATTGAATTCCTATTACAAGGAGAGCTTTAAATTGTGAGATTATATAGAGATCTATAAAATATTGACCTCTGCTCAAGGATTCTACAGGTACTAAAAATAAAATGCATTAATGAATAGTCATATGATACAGTGTTTGGCAAACATGAGAAAAAGCAATAGAAATATTAAAAAATATATAGTAACATCTAGCACAGGTTACTAGGTAATATCTAATGATATTTGCACTGGGTCTTATACATTGTTTAGAGTTCTAACAGACTGAGACATGGAAAAGTCAGAGACAGTAATGCGCATAGCGCATCTGAGTAATTGATGTAAAAGGTGAGTCACTAAGACAATAGTAGCAGGGATGTTCTAGTGTGGCTGCTACCAGCTAGTGTGCTGTTGCTATGTATGAGGTGAGGTGCTTTCCTTCCTTTTTGTAGGGTTTACAGTAACTGTGCAAGGAGAGCACCTGTGTCTTCATGTCTCACTGGCATGGTCCTGGGTTGGGGACAGGGGATGGATGCTGATGCCTCTAAAGTTAAAGTACACATCCACATGCCTAAGAGGAGTTTTCCAGCAGACAAGTGAAAGGAAGGAAGGTACATAAGCATTCACAGAAATAATATATGAAAATGAATAACAAGAGGAGTTCTACAAATGGAATTATGTTACCCTTTCTATTTGAAATATCAGCATTGATGAAATGGGCCTTTCTAATTCCTTATCCCAGTGAGTAACTAGATTCTGTTCTCCTTCTATCCCAAATTTGAAAATAAGCAAGAACTTTACAAATCACCAATGTTTATTATTTCTTTTTGTTTTCTTTAAAACTCTTGCTTTTCAAAGTGGCCGTGAAAAAATGTTACCAAATCTTGCTTCAATAATTTTGACATTAGTTAAAACATTGAAAAGCTATCTTTACGGATCATGTATGCAATGTAGAATCCTTTATTTATCAAGGACAGAAAATCACCAGAGAAAAATGATGCATTAAATCTAATTTGACAACAGAATCATCCACAACTGTATTGAATCCATGTACAAATGGCATCATGTCCAGCATAAAATGTGTTGCCCAGGCACCTTTTGTAAAAAAGGAATGCAACCCACAGCAAATATATACTCAGATCATTTGCTCTTTCCAACCCTAACAGTTTTTGTCTGTGCTCTTACAAAAGACTGTTTCCAACTTCAATGCCTAAAATAAATAGAGCCCTAAAAATGTATTTTTCCAATGTATAATTTTTATGCCTTTAATTCATCTGAAGTACACATTTGCATAGTCATATTATATTAACAGGGGATGCTCTCATCAGCGGCATACACATAATGCATAAAATCATGTTTGAACATAACCTTACTGAACATAGAAGTAGCCTTGTTAAAGAGTCATAGATTACATTGTATGGAGAAAAACTGCTACAATACTGTTAGTCATCTTATTTCTGCCACAAAGGCCAAGAAATTCAGTTAAAGAAAAATGGTTTTCTTTTTATTATAGCAAAGAAATTATTTACAATTGTTCTGAATTTCTATACGTCTGTAATGTCCTAGATTAACTGTGTCATAGATACAGGAGAAGTTGAACTCCAGGGTTGTTTTCTCTCCATTCTTTTTCTATAATTAAATCAAGATCCACAGACCATGCATTCTGAGGAAGAATAAGGATATTCTGTGAATAGAATGCTCATTGCCATTTGAGAATATCTATGAAGAAAATAAGAGTTCAAGGGATGTATAAGGATAAAATTCTAGAGACATTTCTGAATTCACCACTTGATTTTTTTTTAAATAGGAAATACTTCAAAATAAAAAATGTGGATAATAGTCCATGTGGGTAACAAGCTCAAACCTGAAAATAATCTCATATGTTTTAACATTTTCTTAGAACATTTATAAATACAACTGCAATGACTTTTCTGTGATCTTTAAAGATATTGCAATGATAGAGCTTCATTTATTCCAAGTCAGGATAGAGACAGTTGTTTAATATCATTTGATAAGAAAATTATGTTGATTTCCTTGATAGGTAAGGTGGTTTGAGCTCAGGGCTTTCCAAGTCCTATTAGATAACATGATGTTCCCACCTAAAGTTCCCTGTTGTTGTGATTAGCTGTATTTAGAGATGTTCACATTTCTTTCCCATAGTGAATTGAGCCTGTGTTGAACAAGCATTATTCATAATATGTTCAAGACATTAGTTTATTTTGGTGTTCTGAGGTCATTTTTACTTTTATACATTGTCTCCTTGTTTCCCTACTACAGGAAGAGTCAGGCAGATCCCATGACCCTTCTGCTCATTCTTACAAGTAGAGACTCCTACAGTACATTTAAATCACAAGCACGCATTAAGTCAGTGTTTTGGATGCGTGATTCAAAATAGTATTAAAACGTAATTAAAAATTTTCTCCCCTACCTTGCTTGGGTCCACTTTGGGCTGGAGATCTGGTCCTATGATAAACCCCTCTGTAGTATTGAGATGATGATATAGACAGGTTCCTCCCTCAGCCACCTTAAGTTTGAAAGAAGCTGCATTTCACAATTGTTCCCAAAGATATCCTTCTAATCAAATTTGATCTCTCACCTTGTTTCTACTTTTAATTGTCTATCAAGTCCAAGAATCATGGAATGATGTTTTTACTTCCTTTGAAAATTCTATGTAAGAAGGTGTCTGTTCTGCACTTGCTGTGGAACTCTGTGGCTTCTATTCTCAGCAAAAGTGAATCAGGAAGTCTATTCTATCATCTAATTTCACAAGAATATAGAAAGACTATAAGAATTTTCAAAATTTCTAGCTGACATTTAAAATTCAATCCATCAGCAAGTCTTCTTGGCCCAATCTTCAAACTATACTGTAAATCTGACCATATCTTGCCACATTGACTGATACTACCCTTGTGTAAACTATCCGTAGCTTCCCTACTTGATTAAAATAGCTTTTTCATTAATTATCTTTTCAGTCCAGCCTATCTTTTAATGGGCTGTTTTGGTGGGGTTTTTTTTTCCACCATGTTAAATGAGGTAGACTAGGCTGAGTTAAAAAATAGTCCCATGCAAGAAATTACTCAAAACATAAACACTTCAGTTATTTTTCATGAAAGAGTTCAGGATTTTACCTAGTTGATAATGCTGATGCTGTTATTGTGTGTGGAACTGATGAGTGTTTGTTTGTTGGGAGGTGGGTGTTGGAGCAGAAACTCTACTCCATGCAGTCATTCAGTCACCTAGACTGATGGTCCCTATGCCATCTTCAACCTGTGGTTACTAAGCTTGCTCTGAGTGTTAGCTCTTTTCCTGTCAGCTGGAAGCAGGAGGGAGCTTGGATAAAGCACACATGGGAGATTTTTATGGGTCAGGTATGTGTTAGGTGCAGTCGCGTTTTATTGGCTAGATATTAGACACCTAGTAACATTCTATGATGTGGAGGCTGAGAAATGTATTCTTACTGTGGGCCTAGGAATAAGTAGACATGGATTTTTGTCACCAGCTAACCCTCTCTGTTACATTCATGCAAGAGAAAGTGATTGACCTCATCTCTTTCACCTGATCAAATTCCTCCCATGACTTCCCATCTCACCTAAAATGGAATTCAAATTCATTATCACCATATCACATCCCTCTCCTCTTTAACCACTTTACCTTAGATGCATTATCCTCATTGTTCTTTTTCACAAGTCGATACTTACACATCTATTGTTCAGCCTGGAATGTTAATTTTAAAAGGCTATCTCCTGGGAAATGACTTCCTTGACTGCTTTATCTTAACCCCCCCCTAATTCCTTTGCATGATTTATTGTTTCTTCTTATCATGAACCATCTGGAGTTGCTTTATACATATTTCTTTATTTATTTTTCATTTCTCTTGGGATGATAGGCCCAAAGAATACATCTGTTGTCTTACTTAGTGATATAGCGCTAGAGTGTAGAAAACAACTAAGCCTTTAGTAGATGTTCAATAAATATATATTGAATGAATGAAATCTCTCTTTTCAGTTCAGTAGCTTATATTAGACATTTTTTAAAAATGTGTATCTGTCTTTCATAGCATAAATATGTAATGGATGATAGGAAGCAAAATTAGCAAAAATTTCTGTATTAAATCACATTAAACATCTATGAGATGTGACTAGCTCATTCAATAGGCCATGCTGTTCTGATTATTCATTACTGTGTAACAGACCACCCCAAAACAGGAACACACAATAGCAATCCCCAAACAATAGCAATAATTTACTGTGCTCACAAAATTGGATGAAAAACTCAGCTAAAAAATTCAGGGTTTCATAGAAATTTCATTTAGGAGGTAGGTGGGGCTAGAGCCATCTTCGTGGTTCTTTCATGTAAACATTTGGTTCCTGGACTAAAGAGTCCAAACAGTCATATTCCTTGTGTTGGT